ATAGGGAGAGATTCCAATGAGCAAATATTATCATTAGCAATTGTAGTTATGAAAGGAGAAAATAAGGACTCGTGACAATGGTTTTTCAAATACTTGTTTCTGATTTAGGGGATATGAGAGTGTACAAGGCACTCACCTTTATGTCTAATCAACAAAAGATATGACCACTACACCTTGTATTTTATCTTGATTAACTTATGTGTAGAACATTGAATATTTTTTATTTCAGGGATTATTACCAACCATTAAGGAATTATGGTCTAGAGTAAAACAAAGGTTCTGTATTAAGCACTTGTATAATAATTTCAGAAAGGTATATTCAGGGAAACAATTAAAAAAACTTATGTGGAAGATATCAAAAACAATTTATCCACAAGAGTGGAAAAAGCATGTGAAATAAATGAGAAACATTAATAAAGAGTCATTCAAGCACCTCTTGAAGATTCTCCCAAGATATTGAAGTAAGTCAAGGTTTTCTTTCCAATCTAAGACTGATGTAGTTGTAAACAACATGTCTAAAACATCTAATAGTGTCATTATGGGACTTAGAGAAAAGCCCATTTATGATGGAAGACATAAGAGTGTATTTAATGGAAAGATGAGGTGAGAATAGAAAAAAGGCTACATTGTTGACTGGAGACATATTGACAAATATACAGAAAAGGTTACTAACATCAAGTTGAATCAAAATGGTAGTTGTCAAGGTATTACTTTTATCATACTTCAACTTTTTAATATGATTCATTTTAGTCCTCTAAGATATAAAAATAGTTCATTGCAGTCCTCTAAATTTTTCTTATGGTTCATTTTAGTCTTTAAATATTTTATATCAAGTGTAATAGTCCTTTAATATAATTAAAATTACAACTTACTCTTATTATCGGAAACAATATTATGTAGCAATTTACCAATTTATCGTATATTCAACAAATGGACCCAATTGTTGGGAATCTACTGACTACCCTGACATTTTACCCCTACTAATAAAGAAACAACCTAAGAGGCTAAAAAAGTAAAGGAATAAAGATGCAACTGGCAAGGTTGTTGAGGGAAACAAATTGAATAGGAAAGGAATGACTATTAAATGTAACAAATATGGAGTAAGTGACTATAAAAAAGCTACTTGCAAAGTTATAAAGTCTACCGGAACAGAAGCATCAACAACTCAAACTCAAAGTTTAAGCAATTCTCAAGTTTCAATTGATGGTCAAACAAGGAGGAAGATGTGTACTCTAAGGCGTCAAAATAGTTAAATGTATTATATAGGGACAATGTATTATTTTACTTTACGTTTTATGCTTTTGGTTGGATGACATATTTTGTGGGGCTTGTATTTTTTTTTTCCTGTTGTTTTGTTATTATCATAATCGTATATTTTAATCAATCTTTTTATTCCCATTGTACTTTTTTACTTTTATATTTATATTCCAAGATAATACATATGCTGAAAATATTATTTCATTAAAGATAGAAAAATTCATATAAAATAATAGTAAAACAGCAAGACCATGACTTAATCAAAGCATTTTTTCATAGTGCATTTACAAAAATTACATTCCTTAAATTACACCCTAAACCCTAAACAACGTGAAAAATAACATCATTATTAATACATTAATAATCATACTAATACTTAAAATCTTAATTTTTTTCTTGCTAATTTTGAGTGAATTCTAATAATGCAAAATTTTTCTCCTTTGCCTCGGTACAATAATTTCATTATCTTTAACTTCATTGTCTTCTCTCCACCTGAAAAATACACAACTCTCACCAAACTAAAAAATGATACAATAAATTAGTAATACAAATTAGTTGAACTTTATATTCAAAAATAAAACTCAGTTATTTATTCTTACAAAATTACCTCATAGGTTCTAGATCTCCAAAAACTTCTTCCTATATTTATTGTTGTTGTTGCTATGCGATGAACACTTTTCACACCATAATAAACAAATGGATGCCTAACCCTTCCTCTATGGGTAGACGTCGCAATCAAAGATTGTGAATCCATGGGAATGAAATCTCCACCTTTGTTTTGTTATTTTAAAGAGACGTAGAACCCTAACTTCATGTGTCCTGACTCGTATGAAAAGAGAAGACTTATAATATAACTTTCTTTTATTATTTTAAAATAAAAAAATTCAAACAAGATTAATAAATGGCATTAAGGTCACTTTAGTGTCGCATAGGAATAGAATTAACAGAAAAGACTAACGTGAAAAAAAAAAGTGAACTTTAAGGATGAAAATGAATAAAAATAAAGTTAGAGAATAAAACCAATTTTTACCTTTAAGTCAAAGGATGAAAAGACTATTTTACCTTTATTTTTTTATAAACAAAATTAATAATTTTTCTAAATATAAACAAAATGTAAATTAAAATATCAAAAATTTAAAACAAAATAATTTTTTTAACTAACCTTTGTTGCGCAATACATACTAACACTGGACAACTACAAAAAAAAGTCACAACTTTTAACCTACAATTGTTAAGAAATTATAAAATTATATATTATTATTTTTTAGAAATTAAAAAAATAAAAAACAAAATAATATAAAAAATACATATAAAATATTAATACCTTAGATAAATATTCAAAATTGCCAAAATTCACCCAAAATCAGTTTTGTTCACAAATTTTCAAAGAAAAAAATAGAGAAAAATAAGGTCAGCAACGTCAAGAGGAAGAAGAAGAATGTAAGAGAGAAAAAGAGCTCTGAAAGGTTACTATATGATTTGACACATGTCAACAAATAACACAATTTCATCACAATAATGACACATGTTATTCTTTTCATGAACTCCACAAAACAAATAAGATATTGACATGCATTTCAAAAACTCTTTAATAGTTTATTTTAAACTATCTTTTTTTCGTGCCTTTTGCACTTTTTTTGGTGAAACTTTTACAAACATGTCATCTCTTGACAATTTTTTTTAGGGTTTAAGATTTTATTTTTTGTGTGACAAAAATTTTGTTTGCTTGACACATGACATGATCTCTGCAGTATCACACTTTTGGAGGAAAAAATTATTTAAAATCAATATATATATATATATATATATATATATAACTTTTGTGGGGACAAAATATTTGCATCGTGATAAAATTCACTTCAGATAAAAAAATTTATAAAAATAAATAAATTGAAAAATTATTTTTAAAAAAACAATATTTAAATAAAAAAAAGTCTACTTAGGGGTGTTTCATGTTTATTATTACTGATAAGTTTGTAATTAGGCTCTCTTTTATAACTCATATATTCATATTCAATCTTTATTTTATTTGGGTTTTACACTAATTTATTTGTTAATTGTGCAGTTTTGTATAAAGAGGCCGCAAGTATATTTTGGGCGCATTTTGGGCCCAAATTGATAGAAGATTAGAGCTTTGCAGCAGTCAGCATGCCCAGCCCCTTTAAACAAGCACGGGGGTGCTTCAAGCCCATACACGATTGTGCTTAAGGCCTTGCACGGCCGTGCTTATCTGCGAAAAGCCCAATAATAAAGAGTTTTTACGGTTTTCAAACCCTATTAAAGGAAGACCTGATGCACCATTGAAGATATCTTTTACACACCGTTTTTATCTAGTCTTTGACTCTGGGATACATCTCATCTCGTCTCTCTTGCACGGGATCTTTGGCACACTCTTGGTGAGACTTGGAGCTTCGAGCGATCGTACTTGAAGACTATGAACACATCTCACACTCTAGTTTTCTATTTCTTTTCTTTATGTCTTTGTTCATATTGTTTTAGGTATTTTCTTTAGCATGAGTAACTAAGTCCATAGCTAGGGCTATGGGAACTATTGTTTATGAATTTATGGAATTTTGATGTTTGAATCTGAATTTGAGTTCCGCTATGTGATTAGCTTTTATCCTATTGCGCTTCTTTCTTAATCTTAATTAATTATATCGTCAGGCGACCGTACCTCAATTAATTAATAGATCTATAGGGTAAAACGAGACAAAGGATTAGATGAACCAAACCAATCTTTCTCTTCTAATCGTTATTAAATTAACAAGTTTATAGGCTCCTTAGGCTTTCTTTAATTGATGTCTTGCATGACCATTGAGATGTTAATTTAGAGAAAAGAATATTAATATTGCATGACTATTGAGTATTAATAGTATTTGTATGAATGATTGATAATCACAAAAAAATTGAATTTAGAGTTAAACAGAAAAATAACATAAAGGATTGAATGAGAAAACTCATACGCCCTAGGTTCCTCTTTGATAAGTTTAACCAAAACGTGTATTGTATTCCTTGCCCTTAGTTTTATAATTGATTTTATAAATTTTTGTTTTTATTTAATCTCGTATCTTTAAAACTTAAACAATTGAATTAGAAAATTCTTAATAATTGAAAAACAATCCTTGTGGGACGATATTTCAAGAACTTAATTTAAGAACCCTTTATTACTTCTCGATAAGTACACTTTCCATCCGAACAATTATTATTTTAAAATTCAAAAGCTACTTTTAAGTTAAAATTTATAACAAATTTTGAAATATAAAGTTAAAACAACATAACAAATTTATAATTTTTAAAATTTTAAAACAAAAGAAAAATTAACTATTAAATAGTTGTTATTAAATTTCAAGATTTGAAAAAAAAAAAAAAAAGAAGCTAAAAGCGTTAAAGTCTTATTTTAAAAGTATGTGTTAAAATATTACTTTATAAGTGTTTTTTCCCTTAAATTTTTGTTTGACTTAACTATCTTTCGTACTATTTGTTAATTTGTAAACATTTTGCCATTTTCAAAAATATACATCTATAAATTACTATTCAATTCTTCAAACAACTTTAAAATAAGGTCTACCGTTTGAATTTAAAACTTAAATGAAAATATTTTAAACATAAGCAAGTTGTCAAAAAAATAATGGTCGATTTAGTTTGAACAAGAAAAAAATGTGGCGACTCCCAAACCACATATATCAGCTCTCGGAGGAACATTTAGATCGAACTTTGTTTAGCATCCTCTAACAAAGTAATATATCAAGTATGGTAGGCCATATTTAATTCAAATATAACATTGAGCCATCACTCTGTCCAAGACATCAAACCCTTAAAAAAATGTCAGAAGCAATTAACTAACCTTGTATTCCTACATGACTGCTAGGCAAGACACTATCCTTGATATTACATAAATTGATTGTGGTACTCAAATCAGTAAATTATATCTCGGGCATGAACTGAAGATGTTATATTACAATATCTTCCATTTTCTCTCGAGAGCACCAGTAATCCTTGTAATACAATAAGCAGCACTTAGAGGATATCCCGAAACTGCAATCAGGAAACACAGTGATTGGTCGCAACAAATTCTTTGTAGAGCTGAAAATGATTCATAGTTGAGGGGGGTTGATTGTTTGGCTTTAAAGAAAACATCCCATTTTGGTTACGTATGTTGCCCTACTATTATAAAAATGTAGCTATTCAGTTGCAAGATTGTATTTATTCTTCATAAAATGTAATAAAAGTGAAATACTGCTCCGCTTGGCCAAGCAGATCCGTGTATTTGCAATATTTATAAAGATAGTCTAATCCAACCACTGCTATTGTTCATAAACGTAGATTTAGTAGTTTAAATTAGGCTTAACATAAAATATCTTACTTTTTAACAAAGGAAGTCAGCGATGAATGAAGATCACATAGCCAAACAAGTTTTAACTTTCACAAAATTTCATGAAGCTCTTCATTCATTGTTTTAAAATTTAAATAAAACAAATAAACATGGATGCAGAACCTCTAATATTCAGTAATGATCCCCAATTGAAAAAAGTACGAAGTTTATAGATAAAGGAAGATTGGTAATCAGCAGTCGCACATCTAAGAAGACCCAACAAAAGGAAATCAATGGAGCCAAAAGTGATTACCATGAGTATGTATATAATTATTAAGAAGAGAAGGTAAGAGTAGATATAGACAAACATACTTGCTATATAATCATCTGTATAATCTGTCTCAATCTTCCCATGGGCAATGGCTCCTACCTGATGTTAGAATATATTAAATATTAAGCATCTGCTGAGACAAAAATAGGGATAGAATTTAAAAGTTGAACTTGTGAAAGTACCACAAAGGCAAGGTCCATATTGCTGGGAATAGTTGATACGTAGTCACACATATCTACGAGCTTCTCTGAGCTATACGATAGACCTAACATTCAAAAGAAGCAGTTACTTTAATTATTTTGAACATTTTGATTAAAAAAAATATTAAACAAGATAAACACAAAAATGAATATTATTAGTATTCAGGAATCCTTTCAACGGTAAAAGAAAGAGGGAAACAGATGAAATGAACACCAGCTTCATTTCCTCCATATGGCTAACAAATAATCCCCTTCAGAGCAGTTGTGTAACCATTAAACCATCTTCAAAAACACAACGCACCTATTTTTCGTGAGTTGACAGGCAAATATTGTGTTACAGGGTTTTTTATAGTCCGGAGCAGTTTCTCGCGCTTGCCAACAGCAGATATGCTCAATTTTTGAAGCAATTCCACTGCAGGGTAGTAAAGTTTTGGAGCAACAAATGAGAGTTTATTCTTTTTCCTTAGAAAGAAAGTAACAGGCACACACAACACCAGCCTAGGAAATCAAATTAAATAGCCAACTAAAACTTACACATGACACCAGCAAAGCGTTTGAATGTTCTTGGGATACGAACAAAGGGCTTAACCTCTATAAGAACACCTTTTTCAGTCTTTATGTATACTACTCGCAACCTCCCCGCTTTATTCAGAGGGCTGTCTAAAATAGACAGAAGAATCTGAAAACAACATTCAACATAAATTCATATTTCAATTTTTATACTAATTTAAAAAAACCAAAACTATCATTGTAACACGATAATAAAGTTCTAGTACACTTTCATTGTGTTGTGTACATAACCAATTTAACTGCAACGAATCAGCATACTAAAATTAGGGTTTTGGAGGAACCTGATGAGTGATGTCAGGCCTGTAATCAGCGGGATTCTTGTTATTTTTGCGGAGGAAATTGGCATGGTCATCGGAATTTAAAAGCTGATAAGTCTGCAGAGTAATAGTAGCAAAGTGAACGAATTGAATAAACGTAACGAAGAGAAAGGCATAAGAAAATGAAGAGTACCTTGCCAACTTTGGCGACTTCTAAAGTAGCTCTTTCGAGAATGAAAATGACGCTGGGTTTGTCACTGTTGTTCTCACTGGGTGCAATTGGAATGCCGCTGAGTTCATCTTCTTCAGCTGGTGTTGGTGTTGGTGTTCGTTCTTCGTGAGACACTGCAAGTTGCTTTGGTTCTTCTTCATCTTCGCGATCGTATTTGGTTTCTGCGTGCTTTCGCTTCCGCCCCTTCACACTGTAATGTCGCGTCATTGTTTCGTTCTTAGCTCCACCCACTGCTGCTTCTAGGGTTCTGCTGACGCGGGGACTCTTAATTATAAGAATATTATTCAACAAATTAAATTATATTTTAGTTTCTATACATCTTTGTTTCGTTTGAAAAATATTTTTGTTTTTATATAAATAATTACAAACCATCACTTTATCTTATTTTGTTACACTTTATTGAAGATTAAAAAAATAACATTAAAAATTGTAAAAGTTAAATAATTAAAATTTATATTGAATTTTTATAATTAACACTCACTTATAAATTAATTTTTATAATAAAAAATTATATTTTATTTTTTATATGAATATTTTATCTTTAACATTATTATATCGTTAATAAAGTTAAGTTCTGATATAATAAAAAAATTAAAACATAACAAGATATTTGTATAAAAATTAAAATATCAAAAATTTTATATAAAAATTAATTTAAAATTAAGTATTAAAATTTATTTTTAATTTTTTTAAAACATAGAGTCATTAAACACGTACATTAATAAATAAAATATATTTTTTCATCTTATTTTTTCATAAATTTATTTGTTTTTATATATTTTTAATATTTAATGGTTTCTATTCATACAGCACACAATATTTATGAATAATTGCAAATTTATTTTAAATTGTAAGTATTTACTTTTATCATTAAAAGTTGTAATGCTTTAAGGTTATATCTAGATATAAAAAAAAACTTTAAAACTCTATGAATATAATAATTAGCAATGCTTAAAATCAAAAGTCAACTATGAATTATAAATGATAAATATAAAAAAGTTGAACATAATAGAAAAATTTTAAGTTGTTTCTAAAAATAAGTTATTTGAATTTTGTTTTATTTAATATAAATATTATCAAATTAAAATTTTATAGTTTTTTAAAAATACTTTTAATATTTAAATACATAAATTTTAAAAATTTTAAAATTTTAAACACAACGTAAGTTTTATAATAATTTTATAAAATATTTCGTAATTGTTCAAACAATTTATTAATCACTTATTAAAAGATATTATTAAAATAATAAAATAAAATCTGATAGAAATGTAAACTAGTGTGAGAACAAAGAAAAATAAGAACAATAAATTTGTAAGAAAAAAATAATATTTTTTTTAATAATATAAACTACAAACAAGATAACAAAATCACATAAAAGTTAAATTTTAAAAAAATAATATATACAAACAGGTATAAAGTTAAAGATAATAAAATATCAAAATAAATTAATAAATTGATTTTTTATCTTTTAATTTTTATTTTAGTATGATCTTTCATTTTTTTAATTATAAAAATGTTTTAAATAAATATTTTATTATATTATAAAAGATTAACTTCGTTCAAAGATTATTGTTTGAGTTAATTATATTTTGACAAATCTTTTAGTTGTATCTTTTTTTTTCTTTTGTTTTCTTTAGTCACTTCATTTGTATTTTTTGATCTATTTTTTTTCTTGTCTCAATTCTAATAAAAATTTTATAGTTTCTCTTCTTCCGCTTACTTCTTTCTTTTCAAACTCTAATAAAATCTTCTTCTTTTTTTACAAAATATTATGAAATATTATTCAATTCAAAAGGCTATCTCTCTTCAGATTCCTCATTAAAAATAGTTTATTTTTTACTCATAACTCTTTTTAAAGCTCCAGTGCTCCATTAATATTATAGATTTGGGTTAATTGAATATAATCATTTACCATGCATCATAAAAAAAATAATTGTATGTAAAAAAGTTTAATCTCTCTCTACAACACACATTTAAAATGAAAATTTTATCAATCAAAATAATATTTTTATTATAAATAAATAAATAATTTTTTTTGTTGAAGCTTGAGGAAGAGATTTTGTATATAATTTTTTATTTGAAAATTATATTAATATAATTTTTCTATAAAAGTCTTCAATGACATTTTTATGTGTCAGAATTATAATCAAAACCAAAAGTTGTCTAATGGTGAGATTTAAAAAAACAAATTTTTAGTGTGAGAAATTGTCATTAGCAAGATTTAAAATTAAAAAAAAATCATTTTTTACTTAATAAAATCACTATTGGCGACTTTTGATATTTAAAAAAATTATAAAAATTCGTCATTAGCAACTTTTCAACTATGAAAATAATAAGAAATTTCTAAAAGTTGTTGATGGCATTTTAAAAAAAAAAGTTGTTATTCATGATTTTTAATATATGTGTTTATAAATATTAGGTATTTCATTCTTTGTAAATTGTAAGTGAAATGAAAAGAAGTTTTTTAGACATAAGGTAAGTTGAGTTATGGAGAGAAATATGAGTATATAAATATTAATATACTTTAACAGTGAAATTATTACAAACACTTGTAAAAGTGTATTATTTAGGTGTAAAAAGTCAACATGTATATATAGGAAATAATGTATCATTTGGAGAATTCAAGTATTGATTTACTCAAAATATTAAGGTTGAGTTTCCAAAAACAATGGAAAATATTGTGTATAGGTGTACAATATCTATATTTGGTGGTTTCATGCAATATCATACTATTCCAATAACAAATGATGATGACGATATTCTTTAAATGTTTCGAATACATCAATAATGTCATCCTTCAAACCCTATCATTGAGTTGTATGTTAGTTTTAAAGAAGTTGCAGTAAGCATTGGTGAAAAAGATGATGAGGAAGCATATGCAAACACTATGCCAAATAGAGATGTAGAATGAGAACAAAATAACAATGAAAGTGATGAAAATAAGTTTGGAAGAGAATATATAAATGGTGGAGATAGTGAATATGAGGATATAAATGATAATGGTGATTATGGCGAGGCTCGTTTGTTAAACATAGTGGTTGGACAACATCTGTTTGAGGAGTCATCCTTCATGCTTTCATTAAATCTTGATGTCATGCATGCATCTAAGTTTTCAGAGTATGCAAACTTAGGTATGTGTTATTTTCAATTATATTATTGATGAATTAAATTTTAGTTTTTTAATTATTTTATGTTTATATTTGCATTTGATAGGTTATTGTGATGAAAAATTATATGTTAAAAAGCAATCCAACAATAAAGAAATCGTTATACGAATAATTAGGCGTTACAATATATCAAATAGAGTGGATTACAAAGTGGTCGAGTCATAATCAAATACGTTTTATTGTAAATGTGTGAGGTATGAAATATATTATGGATGACTTCTACGTGCTACTTTTAAAAAGAACAAGTATATTTGGGAGACAAGAAAATATAATGACCCACACACAAGCACAAGAGAAAGGATTCCTAAGGATCATAGAAAATTGGATTAAGACACAATTGTAAAATATATAAAGTCAATAATTAAGTATGACCCTTCATTTAAGATAAAACCTGTAATTAGTGAGATTCAGTCTCAGTATGAATACACGACAACATATCAAAAAACATGGATAAGAAAACAAAAAGCAATCGAAAAAGTTTTTGATTAATAGGAAGCCTCATTTGAAGCTTTGTCACAATAATGTGTAGCAATGTGCGACATTGTTCGAGGATTTGTTGTCCAGTTGGATGCTGGAGAGGCCTATCGTGATGATGAGCTAGTTCCAAATTTTAAAATATTTTGTCAAGTATTCTAAACTTTTGATCTGTGTATTAGAGTATTTAGATACTGCAAACCATTGGTGCAGGTTGATAGGACACATTTATATAGAAAATATATGGAAATTCTATTGGTGGTTATTGCACAAGATGGTAATGAAAATATATTATCAATTGCTTTTGCTATCTTTGAGAGTGAGACTATAGATGCCTAACTTTTTTTTCTTGATGATTTACTCAAACACTTTGTCACCCAAGAAGGTGTTGACATAATTTTTGATTGGTATGAGTCAATTAATGCAACAATAAGAAGAAGCAATGGACAATGAAAATCTCTAAGAGTAAATTCTATGAGAGAAATGTGTTCTAGCATTTGACAGAGGCCATGTAGGTGGAGTCACATAACCACAAATCTGATTAAGTGCATTAATTCAGTGTTAAAAAGTGTTTGAAATCTTCAATCAATGCAGTTTTAAGAGCAACTTACTTTCTACTGGCCCAGTTATTTGCACATAAAAGGAGTGAAGCATATGCATGGAAAAAGGTTGAACATATTTTCTTTGAACCTATGATGACTCAACTTCAATCAAATGAGGTAGACGTCATAAACTTGCATATTACTTAATTTGATAGATGAAGTGAAACTTTCCATATTTATGATTTATCTAACAGACAAGAATATAAAGTTGATATGAGACAAAAGGTGTCTATAGTGATATGCATATTGATAGATAATTGTGTCGTCATATGATTGCTTCATGTTGTAGTAAAAACATTGATTGACGTAATTATGTTGATGATGTTTATACAATCAATGAAATATACAAAATTTATAAGAAGGAGTTTAGGGTGATTGGAAATGAAAGCACATGGCAGTGTTATAGAGGATTAAGATTTTGTCCTAATCTTGCCTTAAAGCACATAATTAAAGGTTGTCCCAAATAAAATCGTTTCCTTAAGCAATAGTCGAAGGCAATATTCTCATGATTTGGGACTAAGATCATAATGTTTATTTATAATGATATGGTGAAATTCCTTCATTTGGTGGTGTTGTTTTTATTATGATTGTTGTTGTTTTAATTATTAATGTTGTCTTTTTATGTTTCCAATATGGTTTGGTTGTTATGTTGTCATCCCATTATATTACATATCAAAGTACATATGTTAAATTAAAACAACAAATAACATCCCATTAGATTACATAAGGAAGTAAGCAAACAAACTACAATTACAGATAACTACATGACTATCTTTTTTGCCATTTTTTTTTTCTTGATGGGCTATATCTATCGAGGGCTTGGGTAAAAGACGTAACAAACATAAAAAAAATCTCCTACATCTTCCTCCTTTATCTGCATCATCACCTATAACCCCTTTTTGTATGGCTTCATCAGTTTCTTGCTCTTGCTTTTGGTAAATGTTCTATCTTGTTGTGTTAGATCTCATGGCATCATTGGCATGGACCATTGATCACCTAGTGAGAATATTCCCTAATAAATAGTCTCATATTTGGTGTCATATGTTGTGGTCGATACATATCCTTTTGATGTATTAGTAGAGTCAATTACTAGTAGACAATCAATATGAAGTCCAAGCAATATACAAACATCTTTTAATGTAATAATACATTCTTGACAAAGTAAATAAAATGTGTGTATTTTATGTCTTCATCATTCAAACAGTGCATTAACAAGATGATTATTAATTTGCATTTGACAAATTTAGAAAACCCGATCAAATTCAGCATCATATAATATGTTATTTATTTATTCCTTAGGTGACATTATAGAAAGTGAAGACAACGTAGTTTTCTTATTTCCTGTTATAAAGATAATACTAATCAAGACAAAAATGTTTATCAATTTCATAAACAATAATTAAAAATATAACAAATTATTACATTAGCATAAATATGTTATAATTTATTATATTTACTAACTAATTATACCAAAATAAATATATTTACGTTATTTTTTAAAAGTTATAAAATTTAAAAAATATGTTAATAAATGTAAAAAAAAAAACTATTTACAAATATTTAACAATTTTAATAAATTATAAATAAAAATAAAAATTAACTAAAGAATACTTGCATTTAAATTGTGAATATTTTTTAAAATACACATCATTGAATCCATAGTTAAATCCTTAACCATTTTTTTAATCTAATTTTCTATTCTAATTTAAAATTATTAATTTTTCACTCTTTTTTTTTTCATTTTTTTCTAATTTTTCATCTTATATTATCTCAACACATTCTCTTTTTCTACCTCAAACTTCTCTCTCTCCTTTCTTCCATGTGCATAACTTCCCAATGCACCTAAAGATTTAATTTATGACATCAAAGGTCATCAATGACAATTTTTATCTTCTTCAATGCTCCTACTTGTCCTTAACAGTGAAAATATAGAGATTTCTAACCCTAAAATTGTTAATGACTATTTTATAGAACAATCAAAGATTATTATAAACATGTTTTACTATAGTGAAGATAGATGACTTTTTAACTCAAGGTCGTTGATGACAACTTTTAAGGACCTCTAACACCTATCAATAATGTTCAGCTTATTGCTGATGTGTTACAAGTCAAAAGTTGTTAATAGTAACTTTTCTGACATTTATCTAATCAAAGTCACATAAATAAAGTTTTTAAAAATGTAACTTTTCTTTTACTTCATAAAAAAATTATCAATAAATTTTTTTAAAATTTCATATTCTGATAATTTTACAAATAAATTATATTATAATTTTATTTTTATTAAAATATTTAAATTATTTTACTAGAAGAACATGGGTAAAAAGAAAAAAAAATAGAGAATTTTATGTGTCAAAACTTTAAAAAAAAAAAAACGAGTTATAGACGTGTGAATAATAAAATAATTGAAATTTTGTTTGTAATATATTAGTCAAAATAATTTATTAATAGAATTAACATTGAAAAACTAAATGAAAACAAAATCTAAGAGTGAAATCTACTAATTTAACTAAAATAATAATAATAATTGAAAAAAACTTTAGAAATTTGGGTTGAAAGTCCAAAAGATCATTCAACATCAAACAAATATGGCATTATAAAAATCAAAATAAGGGAAATAGAATTTTCTTATCTCTGCATCTACAGGCATAGGCAATGGTGTATTTATGAAAATTTTCTTACATGTTATCGCCATGTTTTGAATATGTTCAGCTTATAAACACCGCAAAGACCTCGTCTTTTAGTTTTTAAAACACCAATTCAAATATGTAAATGAGAACATATGGAAAAAAAATTCATAATTTTTATTAAAGAATTATTAATTATTCATCTATTAGAAGAGAGCATGTAATTTTCTTTCTCTGATTTTATCCTAAAATTAAAACTGTATTTTTTCATTATACGTGTACTTTGTCTTTTTTTTTTTCTTTTTTAAAAAATTAACTTCAAAGTTTCATTTTAATAAATTTCAACATTTTTTTTCTTTCAAAATTGAAGCATTAATAAAAAAATATTTTTTAATGGCGTATTTTATTAAAGAGTAGAAACCAAAACCCAATGTGAGGTGTGGTGGTGGCGAATGAATTCCGATGAAGCTCCAGCTTGGTCGCACGCCACTCTCAGCCACAGCCACAGCCACAGCCACAGCCACAGCCTCCACCCCTCTTCTTCATAGACCCTTCTCCATATCCAAGTTGGAGGACCAAAACGACGCTCGTTTTGTGTCTCTCTTATGCGACATCGTTCGAGGAAAGCAGAGTTGGAAGGTGGCTTTCAACGACCTTTCCATTTCGTCGACATTGAAGCCCCATCACGTTGAACAAGTTTTGATCAACACCTTGGACGATTCCAGGTTAGCTTTGAGGTTCTTCAACTTTCTGGGTTTGCACAAAAACATTAACCATTCCACAACCTCCTTTGCCATCTTGGTTCACGCCCTTGTGCACTCTAAGCTTTTTTGGCCCGCTAATTCCCTTTTGCACACCCTTCTCCTTCGTGGGTCTCACCCAAAATTTGTTTTTTCACACTTTCTTGATTCTCACAGCCGATGTAAGTTTTCTTCTACTTTGGGTTTCGATTTGCTGCTTCAGAGTTACCTACATAATTCAAGATTTTTTGATGCTGTGGTTATTCTAAAACTCATGCTTGCCAATGCCTTATTGCCTGAAGTTAGAACGTTAAGTGCCCTCTTGAACGGGCTTTTGAGAATTAGAAAATTTATAATGGTTTGTGAATTGTTTGATGAGTCTGTGAATGCGGGGGTTCAACCTGATCCTTATACTTGCTCTGCTGTAGTACGGAGTTTCTGTGAATTGAATGATTTTTTTAGAGCTGAGGAAAAGATTCGCTGGATGGAATTTAATAGGTTTGATATGAATATTGTAACTTATAATGTTTTGATTCATGGGCTATGTAAGGGTAATCGAGTTTGGGAAGCTGTTGAGGTTAAAAGATCGTTGAAGCCAAAGGGTCTGAAAGCAGATGTGGTTACATACTGTACATTAGTACTTGGTTTTTGTCGGGTGCAACAGTTTGAGGCTGGAATACAGCTTATGGATGAAATGGTTGAGTTGGGGTTTGCTCCAACTGAGGCTGCTGTATCAGGGTTAGTGGAAGGGTTGAGAAAGCAGGGAAAGATTGATGATGCTTATGATTTGGTAGTTAGGGTAGGAAGACTTTATTTTATGCCCAATTTGTTTGTTTATAATGCATTAATCAACTCTTTGTGTAAAGGTGGAGATTTCGATAAGGCAGAGTCTCTTTATAATAATATGCATCTGATGAACTTGCGTCCCAATGATATTACTTATTCTATTCTCATTGATTCCTTCTGCAGAAGGGGGAGGTTGGATGTTGCAGTATCTTATTTTGATAGAATGATAGCTGATGGTATAAGAGAAACTGTATATGCCTACAACTCTTTGATAAATGGCCAATGCAAGTTTGGGGATTTGAGTGCTGCCCACTCTCTGTTTACTGAGATGATCACTAAAGGGGTGGAGCCAACTGCCACAACCTTTACCTCATTGATTAGTGCGTACTGCAAATACCTACAACTAGAAAAGGCATTTATGCTGTATAATGAGATGATTGAGAGAGGAATTAATCCAAATGTTTATACTTTCACTGCACTTATTTCTGGGCTTTGTGGTGCAAGTAATATGGCTGAAGCATCCAAACTTTTTGATGAATTAGTTGGAAGAAAAATCAAGCCAACTGAGGTGACATATAATGTTATGATTGAAGGATATTGTAGGCATGGTAATGTTGATAAAGCCTTTGAATTGCTTGAAGACATGCTCCAAAAGGGCCTTGTTCCTGACACATATACCTACAGACCTCTTATTAGCGGCCTTTGTTGTACTGGTAGGATTTCTGAAGCTAAAGATTTTATTGATGGTCTCCACGAGCAGAATGTAAAGTTAAATGAAATGTGCTATAGTGCACTTCTACATGGTTATTGCCAGGAGGGAAGATTGATGGATGCGCTGAGTGCTTCTTGTGAAATGATTCAAAGAGGAATCAACATGGATCTGGTTTGCCATGCTGTTCTTATTGATGGTGCTCTGAAGCAGCCAGACAGGAAAACATTGTTTTCTCTCTTGAAAGAAATGCACAATCAAGGATTGAAACCTGATAGTATAGTATATACAAGTATGATTGATGCATACAGTAAAGAAGGATCTTTCAAGAAAGCTTTTGGATGCTGGGATTTGATGGTTACTGAGGAATGCTTTCCTAATGTTGTGACTTATACTGCTTTGATGAATGGTTTATGCAAAGCAGGTAAAATCGACCGAGCAGGTCTTCTTTTTGAAAAAATGCTGGCTGCAAATGTCCCTCCCAATTCAATCACATATGGCTGTTTTCTTGATCATCTTACAAAGGAGGGAAATATGAAGGAAGCTATAGGACTTCACCATGCGATGCTTAAAGGGCTTTTAGCAAACACTGTAACATATAACATTGTTATCCGTGGCTTCTGCAAATTAGGTAGATTTCATGAAGCTGCCAACATTCTTTCTGAAATGACTGAAAATGGTATTTTCCCCGACTGTATTACCTATTCAACTTTAATTTATGAGTATTGCAGAAGTGGCAATGTAGGAGCAGCAGTTAAATTATGGGATACCATGCTAAGCAAAGGTCTTGAGCCAGATTTGGTTGCATATAACTTGCTAATATATGGTTGTTGTGTTAATGGAGAGCTCAACAAGGCATTTGAATTGCGTGATGACATGTTGAGGAGAGGGGTGAAGCTAAGACATAATTTACCAGCATTGCAAAAGGGTTAATATAGGAGCAGCAGTTAAATTGTGGTACAACATGCTCAAAATAACGGTTTAGAGCCTGTTTTACATGGGTGCTGTGTTGATGGAAAGCCCAGCATGGTATTTTCAGTTGCATGATGACATGTTGAGAAGGGTGAAACGAAGGCAAAATATACAGAATCTCTTGAAGCTGAATTTTCAGAGAAAGAGATTGATGCTTGACGTTAAAGTGGTTTCTGAAGCCTGAGAATGTGAAAGTGCTGCACTGCGTAAGTAACTCTATGATACAGTGTCATATCCAAATCATAAGAACCCCGTAAAAGGTTAGTACTTGCAAAGTGGAACAAATGTTCTATATTTAGTTTTAAGCAATGAAACTTCATATGAAACTAAAATTTCAGTTGAAACTAGTTGCAAGCCTAATTTTGTATGTTGAAAATTCTTTTATTGAACGTTATTTTCAATTTACTTACAACATGAAGATGCAAAGCAGTTATGTTTCTTGTCAAGATTGGTGTTTGTATGGAGTTCCATTGAAGTGTAGACTGCTTATGAAGCAATTAATACAAAATTTGTTTGACTGATTGAACATGAAGTGTGCAAAATTTATATAGCTGTCAAAATCTATACTCATTTTAACCCAATATTAAATTATTATATTTTATGTAGTCACCAATTTTCATTTTCAGAATTGCAGTTAAATGATGCTTGAGCCAACTTGTGCGTGCCTTGATTGATTACCTCTCCGGTCCGGCCGAATACAAATCATTTATGGTTAGAGTTAAATCCATGATTTGTGCCTACGAGCACATCACTTGTTCATGCACCACTAAACCCGCTCTTTTGGTTTAATCAGTCATGGTTTTAACTTGATTTATTTATTTCTCCAATTCCTTACAATTCAGGTGTTGTCTCGCAGTATTGACAATCAGCCAAGCCTTTATTTGTAAAGCTTGGTGTAAATGTCAGTTCGCAACACTGTTTTATTGTTAAGTTGTATGCAAAGGACAATTTTTTTATGAGAAACGGTTTATATGCACATATATCTATTAGGAATAGGTAAGTATTTGAAATCCATGGCATTCATCATGAAATTAAATCCATGCGTAATGCTTTTTATATATTCCCAATATTTTCGAATACTAATTTTATTATCGATGGCTGAAAATATTCATATGCCTTCCAAAACCAATCATGGTAGCACCGTGAATAAAAAATTTGGGCAACAAACCCTGAATCACCCGAAAATATCTCATACAAACAGAATTGCACGCCATTCCAGTTTTTGTTGGTGAGTGTCTCCAAAGAAATGTCATCATCGTCATCATCATTACTGTCATTTAAAGATTATATGCAATTCTTTTTGTGGGCAAAGAACATGGCAAATCTTCACGGGAAGTTCTAATATTGCTCAATCTGTTATCCTTCGTGAAACGTTCAGGGGTTAATGGTAAACAATTCAATAGACCATCTTGATTGGACACAATTATAGAAGCTTCAGTCCACCTGTTACCTCATCTACCACTTCAACAGGTCCTGCACATCAATATCAGATCAAATCTAACTAATTCGAGCTGTGAAAATAATTAAGGAAATGCTAAATTTGCATAACAAAAAGCGTATGTTCGTGTCAGGAGTATTACCAAGAATTGCCATCACCGTTCTGGAATCTAGAAAAAAAGGAAAAAATTATTGTAAATTAACTATCAAAATCATTAATAAACGTTTGTCCAGATACAAGTAGAATATGTATCAAATAATGAAAGAAAAGCCAGTTATTCATCAACCGAGTGACTCTTTTCTTTAAAATGCACGCATGAACCAACATTTGGGATGTATGGAAACACTGGTAAAAATTTCAATTATGTGCTGGACAGTAGATAGAATCTAGTAAAAACAAATCAAGGAGGAAAGTTTCAAATACTCACTTGGTGCAATTTGTGTCCTCCCAGCATCGATTGTGATATGGGAGGGTAACTTCAGAGATTTAGCCCTTTCCTAACACATCAAACAACAATTTTACTAAAACAACACAAACTTTAGATAGAAGAATCATGCATTTCAAAAAACTCAATAATTGGGCAGAAAAAACATGTAGCAATGGCATCTCCAGTCCAAACATGAGTCAAATTATGCCATTCAAATGAGCATTTCAACCTAATAAATTTACAGGATTTTCTAATTTTTCCCTTTTGCTTATCAATGGTATGAATTTCCCCCACTCTCTCCCCATGCACTTATCGTGTACAGCCCAAATAACACACTATTAGTTAAGATCTCTCACTTTGTGTTCACAATCACCAAGAACATCCTTTTCCCTTTTCCAAAATGTTCCTCAGAAAATTATCCACAACATTTGCAGCTGCCGATAAGCATGGAGACAAATTTTCTAGCTTTCATGTTTGCACTTTGCAAGACTATTTTCCCCGGTAAAGCCCAAACTTTACTGCCTTGCGTTGCTCCATGAACACTAACTTTTTCTCCAGTAGTCCTCCACTCTGTTGCATCCATTGACAACTGGCTTCAGGAAGTTCCAGCATGTAAAATAACTGACCCAACCCAAATCTACTTCCATTTTGTTTTCCTTTTTGCTAGTTCAAATGTCAAAAAGGACATGTATTTTCTATTTGCTCCCTCGTTGCTCGACCTTGTCTAACATATTTTCTCACGAAATGACTAGGCAATGCAGGTTGCAGAAGAGTATAAATCCAACATTTGAAACCTATGAAGTAAGGTGTTCACCTTATGGAGTAAAGCATAACTATTGAACAAATTCTCAATAATAGAAATTTTAACAACTTCATGATTTGTTACACGTGCATGTATTTTATTATAATCTCAACCATTGATTTAGCTATAACTCCACCGTCGTAGATGCGTTCCTACCTTTAGATGAGCCAAATACAATTGCCTAAACTTGCAACCACATTTTACAAGATTAATTAAACGGAAGCAAACATATCTTACTGTATATAAGTAAATTAGATTCCACTCGAATTACATTTCATGATCACAATTGTAAACAATAAATTAGCTAATGTAGCACGGAATTGTCCAAAACAATACTCACTTGCAAAGCCAACATATCTTCTTCACTTTCAATTTTGACAACAACCTTAGGCTGCGCAGACATCTCCCACCTACACATTGACAGTGAAACTTCAGAATGAAGTTATATAATGTAAGATGATCAGTAAGTATAAACAAGGATACCGCATTACCTACTCAAAGCTTTTGGTGCCCGATAAAGGAGCTTTTTATAGAGACCCAACGTTGCATGACTAAAAGAGACACACAAAGTATTGAGCTTGAATCATAGATCAGGTTTTCATTTTAAAAAAGTCCACTACATGAAGTATGAAGATAAACAGCATGACAAATTATAAATGAAAAACAACTGTATGTCAGTGCTCTTCCACAAATACAACCAGAAGACTAGAACTTACAGAAGATTGTAGTTGGCCTAATGTCTCAGATTCTCAGCATATTCAAAGTTTCAAATAAACAAAAGCTACTTAATATTATCAAAGATTGGCTACCTGCATTGAGCAGCAATCTTTCCTTTACCCATTTTAAGATCATTCCTGACAACAAGTATCTGCATAAAAAGGAAAACTTTTTGAAGCAACCCAATAAAATTGAGCACGTGGGCTTGGAGAAAAAGAAGGAATTTTGAGGAGTACCATCTTAAAATCATCGAGAATGTCAGCGAGCTGTTCAATCTCAAGCGGGTCTTTGTGTTTGGACTTGCTATTCTTCTTCTTAGTGTCGTTATCATTGAGAAGTGAATGGTCTTTAGGTTTAGTCAATAATCTATGAGAGAAGAGAAAACGAGGGGGATATTGAGAACCGATGAAGTAACCGAAAGCGAGATAACCAGCACCCACCAGAATAGCACTCAGCCATGTTAGTTCCATTTCAGATTCAATAATTTAGGGTTTCAGAGTGAAACAACGAAAGCAAGAATCGCATTCGCACACACTGGTCCAATTGGAATCTGATCAATTGCTCATACGCAAACGCAGTTTATTTATTTAAACCAAATTAATATGACGATTTCTCTAAACAATATACTCGATATCTATAAAATTTTCCTTTGATATGGAGGATACCTGTAATCTTTAACTTTGAAAAAAAATATATAAAATGAAAATTCAACCACAATTATAAAATTTAATATATTAATAATATTAAATAGCACAAAATTTATTATTTTTTATACTTTTTTATACATTAGAAAAATGGTTAATATTAATATTATTAAAGTTGTTAATGTATTTTATAAAAGAATAAAAGTAAAATAATTTATTTTTAAATTATTTTCTAGCTTTTTTACATACAAGATTTTGAGAAAAATTATAAAAATATAAGAATTATTTTAAAAAAAATATCAATTACGATTTTTTGTTTGTACTTATAATTTAAATGTTTGGTAGTTTTAAAATTTTTAAAAAATTGTGGAGAATAATTTTTTATGTTTAGACCAAAGATTTCCAAAAACATCAAACTTTAAGAAAGGTTTAAAAGATAATTGTGCCTTATAAAAAAATATAAGATGGTAACCTAAGTTTAGGTCTTATTTTAGTTAATCAGTCAACATTCTGATTAGTTTCTCTACGACCATGATTAAATTTAACAAGCTGAAAACATATGAAAAGTTTCCTAATTTTGCTAATTACAAAAAAAAAGGATGTTTACAACTAAAATTAACAACTAAAGAAATAATTTTTTTAAAGAAGAGCTGGATATTTCTAGCAATGACCAGCTAAAGGCTCCAATATATAGCTCAAAGTTCAGTTATAATAGAGTGGCAAGGGTCCAAAGAATTATAGAAATTGGCTATAAATCTTTCAGCATTGTCGCAGATCAAGCCATCACAGTTGGCAAGGCCCAAAGATTGAGAAGTTGAACCATCAATGTTAAGCTTTAATTGTTTGTCAAGAGAAGGTTGTCATTTCACCAAATGTTGGGCTCTCCAACAACCAACAACATTATTCTTGTGGTTATGCAATAATAACAAAAACAATCAATATCAAAGAAATTTTATTCAATAGATCCTTATTATTTAGAGAGTTATTTTTAAAAATAATATAGTTTCTGTTTTTCTATAAATTCCAAGACACTATCCCAAATAAATTAGTCCACATAGGGTATAAAGGAAAGTTCTACTTGAATAAGTTGAGAACCAGCCAATTGGACAAGTCAAAGTTGAAAAAGAGAGACCAACTACCACGGAGAAGGATTTGTTTCCAAATATTGTTAGCAGCTCAATAGTCCCTAGGAGCATGGATTACTATTTCAAGGGCCTCTATGCATCTAGAGCATAAAGAAGAGGTTGTCATTTGTCGGTTAAACCTTTCTTCATTAGTTAAAAGCTTACCATGAGTAATTTTTCACAGAAGGTTAAGATCCTAGGGAGACCCTCTCAATCCCAGACCAGTTTAAAAAGTTTGCTATACTCAACACTAATAGAATTATTACCAAAAATTAAATTGTAGGCAGTTTTAATAAAGAAAATCCCATTGTGAGATAATTTCCAAAAGACATGGTCCTTACCACTAATTAAAACATGGAGATTAATATGGGCTAATAGTTCACAAATAGACTTAGGGAACAAGTTCCTAATTATATTCCAGTCTCAACTGCCCTGATGGGTATAAAAAGCAATAGGGTCATTTAATTCTTCCTTGGAATATAGGATGAGTAGCAAGTCAGGATAGCACTTGATTATTGTGGACCTAACTATCATCCTAAAATTTGGTTGTTAATCCATCTCCTATAATTGATGAACAAAAGATTTGTCGCGAATCCTCATTAAAATATAAAAAAAAATTAATGTAATACTAGAGTGCTAACCTAAGTCGTCTTCTTGTGAATCATTGAGTATGTTACTAAATATTAAACATTTGGTGTGTAGTGTATTTGGAAAACAAGTAAAAATGGAGAGTTTGTGATTTCAAGTTCAATACAAAGAGTAAGAAACAAAATTATAAAGTTCAATCAATAAAATATAATAACTCCTAGTTCATTCATGTAGATTCTATTCCTATTCCTCTCAAGATTTAGTATTCTTCTCTCCTCCCAGAATTAGGTTAATTTAATAAGCGAAAATCAACCTTATATTTTCATATGAATTAAGCAATTCAATAGACTCTAATCTATCATCCCAAGATTATGCAACCTTAGAAATAAACCTAGAATTAAGCAATTCAAGTTTAAAATCTCATTAAAATGAATTAGGGTTAATTAAGCCTTGTTCAATCATTAATTCAATTTCAAGAGATTAGGAAGAAGAAATTCATGAAAGAAAAGGAATTATATTAACATTCAAAACTCAGGAATTCAAGAATCTAAATGAACTCTATGGATTACAAAAAGTTTAGCCCTTCATAAAGATGGGTCTCACCATTACAAAGTAAAAATAAAGAGAAATCAATAACATCAAGATGAAAAATCAAAGAAAAGTGAAGAAGAAATGGAATTCAAACCCTAGGTTGGACCTCTGGCTATCACCCAAAGCTGACCTAGACTCTGCAAAAGTATCCTAAAAACCCTAAAATATCTAAAGGAAAAGGTTCTACAAAAAAAAAAATTCCTAACCCTAAATGGTAAAAACTATATATATATAAAAAAGTTGACGCCTTCCTAGTACAATAGTAACCACTATCAGTGTTATCCTGACTGAAGTAACTACTATCGCATGTGATAGTAGCTACGCATAGCTTCCAGAATTTTCCTTCTCCTCTGCAATAATATGGTTTATGTTCTGTCTTTCCTAAGTATTTACCAAACTGAGAAGAATTCCTAAAACCTAGGATATGGTTTATGTTCTGTCTAACAATTAAGTCACAATTCTTGGAGAAGTACACATATGATTTCTCTCTATTCACAGATAAGCTAGAAGTAGCATAAAATTCATTTAAAATAAGCATTTATTGTCTCAGCATTATGGTTATCAACTTTGGCAACTAAAACTATATTTTTACAAAATAAAGATGAGATATTTTAGGCCCTAAGTTATTAAAAGAATTAGTGGTCTAGTTACTATTATTGACCTTATCCTGGATTAGGTAGGAGAGTCTCTCAATGCATATCACAAATATATAAGGGGATATAGGATCCCCTTGTCTTATGCCTCTATTAGGGTTAAAACTCTTAGTCCTACTGTTATTCCAATTAATTGTTATAGAAATGGATGAAATACACTAGTTTATAAGTTTAGAAATTTTTTTATTAAATCCAATTAACTAAATGGTTTCAGCAATAAAGCTCCATCTAATTTTATCATAAGCTTTCTCTAAGTCAAGCTTAATAATCATCGTCCTACTTTTCAGCTTATCAAGGGAGTGAAAGAGTTCATTCAATATAAGGATATTATCAATGCCCTATCTATTTGGGATGAAACTAGTTTGATTAATAGAGATAATGTAAGGTAAGGACCCCCTTATTCTATTAGCTAAGATTTTAGTTATGATCTTATAGCTAACATTACAAAGTGATATAGGCCTAAACTGCTTAATGTGATCAAGGTTATCAATTTTAGAGATTAAAGTGATGATAGTATCATTAATAGTAGCAACATTTTTGGGATTGTTAAGCACATTAGAGACAAACTTAAAAACAAAAAGGGTTAACAAATCTCATTGGCTTTTGAAAAATAATGCATAAAGGCCATCAGGGCTTGGAGACTTAAAGTTTCCTATCCTAAACAAAGAGGCTTTTACTTCCTTAAGAGTCAAATTAGAATCAATTATAGTTTTTTCAGATTCCTTAAAGGGAGCAAAACTAGCAACAATGGACAAGAGGTTCCAGTGGGCCAAGGATTAAAGTAAATATTTTTAAAATAGCTTACAGCAAGATTTTGAAGTTTCAAGGGGTCATATTCCCAAGTATTGTTATCATCCTTAAAGGCCTCAATTTTTTTATGTTGTTTGCGTATGATGACAATTCTATGAAAAAAGTTGTTGTTCCTATCACCCAAACTAATTCAGCTAGATTTATATTGATGGAACCAATAGATTTCCTCTTGATCCAAAATTTTCTGGTAGTCCAACCAAAGGGATTTCATAAGCTTACTGAGATAATGGTTATCCTTATTATTTAATTTACAAGAAATTCTCCTAATTCTATTCTAAAGTCTCCTTTTAAGTTTAAAAATATATCAAAAAATATTCACATTTCAATAAGATATATTGTTCTGAAAACTAGAAACATTTTCAATCTAGATTCTAGATTCTCCTCAAGACTTTTGAACTTGATTACAAAAATCTTTATGAGATAGCCAAGGAGACAAAAATTTAAAATTCTTGTGATAGGGTCTGAAATAATTCCCATTTTTAATTTTTAGCCAAAGAACTATATAATTAGATTTCAGAATAGGGAGATGAAAAAGGGAACTATTTTGGAATAGCATTTTTCAAAGGTCATTCATAACTACTTTATCAATTCTTTCTTTAATGTTTTCCCTATGCCAGGTAAAAGGAGTCCCTTTAAATCCCATATCTTGAAGTCTATTGGTATTAAGTCCACAGGTAATAAGTCAAATTTCCAGGTCTACCCACAAATTTTTCTTTTTCTAACAAAATAGTATTAAAGTCCCCAACAACATACCAAAGATCATTTATAGTTAAACTAAAATCAACCAACAGTTTCCAAATCTCAGGTCCTAGATTTTCTTAGAGGCTGACATAGATAGATGAGAGAACCCATATTCTCTTACCATTACTTATTTTAAGGTGTATTAGGTACTTATTTTTTTTTTAACATTAGCTTGAATTTGCTACTATTCCAACGATACCAAATACCTCCAAAGAAACCTATAACATCAACCTTGACAGAGCCATCAAGGTTAATTCTTTCCATCACCATATCAGCTTTATCATTTGAGCTAATTCTGGGTTCAAATAGGAGTATAAAGTCTAGGTTGTAGATTTTAATGAAATCATTAATAAGTTTGGGGAAGGTTTTACCCTAAACTCTCCTACAATTCTAGAAAAGGCAATTCGTA